GTTCGACGAAACGGTCCATCAACGGATAGGCAGTGAGTCGGACAATGCTCCCTTTCCATTCACCAGTTTAGCAATGGAATTTTGCGAACTTGAAATCGTGTTAAAGATTGATAAATTGTGATTTTTCATATGTACGTTTACCCTTGTCTTGGTTGACGTAGATGACTCATGTAACTCCCCATTTGATAGGTAATTGGGTGATTTACCTAGCCTTGCAGATCATTTCCGCTACCACCATCTCCTACGGTTGGTTAGACATCTGCATGTGCTTATGGCAAGTTTTTGCAAAGGCTGGCCCCAGAATTAGTGCCCACATCACTCTTCGATGAAATTTGCTCTTCAACGGTGGGATAGGACATTTACAGTTCAGTATCGGTCAAGGTCAAAGTTGTTGACAGAAAAGCAGCTTATCTCGGTATGACAGTCTTCAGTAAGTCAGAAACCTTGTTCTCTCAGTGCTAGGGTAATAACGTAGAGCAAAGTAGTTATCGCGGTGCCTGATGTGATTGACGGCCACACTTGTAACAAAACAACTGCGTGTGCGACATCTTCTCATCCTCATCTGAGTTGCTAGCATTTTGGTCACACCTTCTGGATGACGGAAAAATAACCTTGCTTTTGCCTATCACCACCATTCTCATCATCTTTTTCTTCCATTTAAATTTACCAGGTAATTCTCTAGTTTCCTTCCCAGTCGTGTCTAGGGATGGCTGTTGCCAACAGTCTTTGGAGCGATTGCGTTGAATTAGGCAAAATATGGCAAATCTTTCCACACTTCAACTTGGCTCGTTTGAAGGATGGCGTAGAAACAAGGCGGGTGCGAATGCACTGGTACCACATTGCTGATCAAAGTTTGAGATGACAATAATGCACTGTTTTGTTGACTGGATTAACTAGAGTAGGGTGATTGCTGTGAGTCAAGCAAGTCAATGGCATAAACTTCAGATACTCACACAGAATGCTTTGAATGCATAAGCACTGTTAAAATACCACGATCCTTCCAAAAACAGGCATGCGAATGCGCGTCTCCGCTGTATCAGATTGAAGGAGAATAAGGCATGAGAAATTAGGAATGGCAAAGTTTTGAGTATCTTTTGGAACTCATCACGTTTACATTTGTTCTCGACATTATGTTTAGAAAATTTACTTCTCTTTAACGTTCAGGAAGGGGATTCCATCACAAAGCATACCAAGTAGGCGGTTTAGTGTTTCATCTCCTTGCAGAGATTTCAGATGCAAAATCAAGGCGGGTCCACAGAAAAGAAGGGATCGGTTTATGCAATGAGTAAATAAATCCCTTGTGGGGATTGCCATTACTAGGTGATGATGTTGCAGGGAGGGTGGTTTAGTGTAAAGCCCACGTGAAGTAATTAGTTCGGTCGGACGTCTAAAAGTGGGAGTTGACGTTCCCAAATCCTGCAACTACCAAACAAGCGGCACAAGAGCCGTTTTCAAGGTTTTAGGCCTCACTTATCATGCAATGACGTCTAATTCAAGCAAATTATCAGCGGGTGCTGGGATTGCCCTCACTAACCAACTAAAATTCACTCGGTCACTCTTTGATCCTTAGTGTATTCCGGTACAAGAACCACAAATTGCCCTTCCCCTTCAAATCTCATCTTCTTAATGGAAACTAATCTTGATCCTCTAGTGAGAGCTATGCACTAATTTTTCGTCAATTTCTGTGTTCACAACCGCCTCTGAGGCAAGCACAATTCCAACTGAATAAACTAAATGCAAGGCAATTTCCCATTTATTGGCAGTGCACTAGAATGAGTGAAAGTAGAAAGGAAGAAGGTGAACCGCAGAAAATGAGACCGAAGGAGGTATAATGGTAAAATACGATGACTAGTGGGCCCAATTCACACCCCTCTTGAGTAGGTTCGCACACAAACCAACTCATCCGCCTTTACGGTCTAAAATGGAGACAAATTTTAGATGCAATAATGTGGTAGTTAGGAGTTCTGTCTACAGCCTTCCAAAAATTGTTCCTACCGCTCGCAGTTCATTGCCTTCAACCACGCGATCAATGTAGGTGGTCTTGTCCTTGCCAACCTGCTCCTGCTTCAGCACTCCATTCTCCATTGTGAGCAATGACATCACTTCACGAGAGTCCGGAGTAATCTCCCTAAACTGTTCTCCCAGTTTGAAGGAGATTTCTGAGGTCTTGAACTTGCTTTCTGATCTCATGTTGTATCTGCCATCGCCTAGATCACTGATTATCAAATTGGGCTTCATTAAATTGCCCATCTTGCGAGTAAAGTAATCCACTCCAAGACGTTCCATGATTTTGTCAAAACCCTCACTCTTCTCCATCTTCCAAGTACCAATGAATGGCTCCATCTATGTCAAGTGACCCACCTTGTGCGCGGTTGAGCTACCGACCTTTGGCAAATCCCTGTATTTATAGACTACCCACGGACATGTGCACTTGGTGAATCCTGGGCAATGATTGGTGGAATCAGACCAATCACGCTCAGGGGTAGTTGACCTCTGTTTAATGTCAGTTCCTGAATAATTTCCCTTCCTGTTAAATCACATGAGCAGAATCTAACACGATCGTACATTCAACACTATCAGGGCCAGCATCGGCAGACAGACATTGTGGAGGCGTTAGTCAAGTTTATGGTGTAATAAGGTAGCGAAATAGCTGTGAAATAGTATTTGTTTATGGTGGTACTTTGAATACGCAGCCATCATTACTTAAGTCCATAATTCAAGTGAGAATTAGAAATGGTAGTTAAATTTCTTTCAGTTTTTTCTGCGGTAGTAAGTACCACTGAGGTTAACGATACAAAACTTGGAAAAATTTTTCTGAATGGGGTCCTTTTAGGTTACTTATGTGGAGTCATCCCTATACTCATTGAACACTCGATAGAAGCGACAGCTTCACTACTGACCATTTTTATTTCAATTTCTGGCCTTATTAGTTTGCAGGAGTACATGCAGACCCTTCAGTCTTAATCTCCATTTTGATCAGCTCATCGGTTCTCTTGTCTATCGTTACTTCTGCACACCAAACCTCCAACGTTGATGGCGAAGGTCAAAAATCGCCTCCGTCTCTCCTCCCCCCCCCCTAAGCCACCTCTTCCACCTCCCTTTTCATTCTTTTACTAGTCGTGTGAACACGCTGTCACCACAAGCTCTGTTTTCCTGACTGTCGATGTCATGCCTACCACACACACTAGGTTGCCAAGGCGTAAGAATTTCTGTTGCAGTACTTAGGATGCTCAAACTCTCCTGTAATGGTTTCTTTTTGAGTGACCTGAGGCTTAAGTAAACAAAGCACGCGTATAGCGTAGGCAACCAAAGCATGCAACTCTCAATGCTTTTAAAATAATACGAGTAATGCACCAGAAGAGGGGGTCGGAGAGCATTTTAACCCGTAGCCACCTTCGCCAAGTGATGCATGATGACACGGAAAGAACTGACCTTTACGGGGTGGGATGAGCTTGCTTCTCCTCCCACCCCATGTGGGGGAGTCCACATACAGTTGTGATATAAATCCACCTTGATGCAAGGTAAATGAACTAAATACATTAACCAAGAAACAGTTTACACATGAAAAGGCAACCGCTCCATTGGTCTTCCAACGGTGAACATAACAGCCCATTATGCTTTGCATTGTGATCACCGACCTTCTAAAAATAAGGCAGTCTTCCAATTGTTTTGCAGTGTTTCCAGACTTCACCTGGCATCCATCCATCTTCCTCATCCCCTTTCTCCTCTTCCCTTTTTCTTTCTCCCATTGAATGTATTCATCCATAATTTGCATTATTTTTCTAACCTCAATGCAACAATCTTTCCAATGTCTGCTTCGCTAAAGCATTCGACGTTTATTCACAGAATCATCAGAAGTTTTTCAAGGACAATGAAACGCTCTCTTTGTAAGATGAAAGGCTGACAGCTGATTGGGCAGTGCCGTTTGATGATGTCTTAAACCTTAGGATTCAGCGCGATATAAATGCGGATGGACGAATTCATTGTTTTGGTATACCAGCGTCTCAAGCCACTTCTATGGATAATGATGGTGGTGATGATGATGATGATGATGATGTCTCCGCCATGGTGGCATTGGTGAAACATCAACAACAACAACAACAATGTCCACTAACAGGCTCGAAGCACGCCAGCACCAACACCACCAGTGGTAGCAGCAGCAACCCATGTGAAGTGTCAGTGTTCCACACTACTGCACCCAAAGAGATGGGAATGTGGCTGACGCCTCCACTCAACTGACGACTGCCAGTGCACCTGCACTCAACGTGAGTGAGATTGCACCAAAAGTGGTGCAACGTGCACAAGGTGCACAGCATGCTGCCAGTCCACAGATCCCTCCACCACCACCACCATCACCACCTACAATTAGTGAGAGCGTCAGACATGAGGTGAAGAAGCCAAGTAAGTGGAGGTGGGAGACGAAGATGCGTGGCAAATGAAGGAAGGAGGTGAGGTGCGGTTAGGTGTTGATGATGCGATGATCGCTGGTTGGTTGAACTTCCTGTTGATCAATTTCACTTAGTTCGACGAAACGGTCCATCAACGGATAGGCAGTGAGTCGGACAATGCTCCCTTTCCATTCACCAGTTTAGCAATGGGATTTTGCGAACTTGAAGTCGTGTTAAAGTTTGATAAATTGTGATTTTTCATGTGTACGTTTACCCTTGTCTTGGTTGACGTAGATGGCTCATGTAACTCCCCATTTGATAGGTAATTGGGTGATTTACCTAGCCTTGCAGATTATTTTCGTTACCACCATCTCCTACGGTTGGTTAGACATCTGCAACGTCGCAAAGAGCATGTGCTTATGGCAAGTTTTTGCAAAGGCTGGCCCCAGAATTAGTGCCCACATCACTCTT